CAATACAATATAATAAATATATATTAATCTCTGTGAAAGGTACATTTCTTTAGCTGCCCAAATAAGGACATAAATGTGTCTTTCAGCTGGAGAGTCTTTTTCTGTCATTGAAAATACTGAAACGCTTCCAGGATTAAAGTGTCTAACGTCTTTTTACGATTTTTATGAATTACCCTTCTGCCACAGTGCCATCCAAACTCATGCTTCAGTATAGTTGTGTTGTTTGTCCTTTACTGGGGGAAGATAAACAGCTGCAAGAACAAACCTGCCTTTCACATCAAGATAACTTCAGGCATTTATTTTGGCAAATGGAATCTGCAAAACCTCAAGATGGATGGCCAATATTGCATGTACACAATAACAATAATTAAAAATAAACAAAATAACAATACAAAAAAAAAAATAGTGCAGTGGCAATTTCTACTCAAAATGATAGGAAACTGTCAGGTCCCATTTCTGGCTAGTAAAAAAATACTAAGAAATGTTTTAGCTCAAAGCAGTTACACAAGCTGAACAAACCAAAACACTTTATTTAAGCCACTAAGTGAAACATGAAAGGTTTTATTTACTTGTATCTACAGGAGAGATATAATGTCTTATGCTACTCTTGCTAAAGTTGCTGAGAAAATGTTTTTGTTGTACAGTAGCCTACTGGATGGCTTCAAATATGAGATGTTATTTGAGAGCGAGCATGGCAGTACAGGCACGCGCATCAACTTGTTCTCATAACAGATAAGATATGGAGACATCTGATGATGAAAGCTAGCCTAATGAGATCCCACAGCGTCCTCATACATATAGAGAAAAATCCAGTCAGCCTCAGTAAGAGGCAAATTTAACATTTTAAACAAATTGCCCAGTCAAAATGACTTTCTATACATTTCAAATTAATTTCAAGAAATGTAGACTATTTATTAATGTATTAACAGAGACAAGTTGTCTCTTTTAAACAAATTGCCCAGTCAAAATTACTTTCTATACATTTCAAATTAATTTCAAGTAATGTAGACTCTTTATTAATGTATTAACAGAGACAAATTGTCTCTTTTAAGGTTAAAAGAGACAAATTTAACAAATCAAAATGATTCAAGGCACGGTGCAAAAAAGTGTGTGCACAAGAAGAGAAAAGAAAATGAAATAATCTAAATGGTAGGCTAGACTATACGCGTTTCTGGAAACTTAATTCAACTGTCATCTAACTCTTCCCAAAAAGCGTGTTTTTATAGTGTACAAGCGTTTTTATAAAAACACTAGTAGTAGTCTATTATTCAAATTCCATAAAACAGCAAAGCACTTGTATTGTATTATAGACGAACATGCTAGAGTCCATTTACAGGCGTTACTCACCTTTATCTTTCTGGAACAAATCCTCTCTGAAAAGAGTCAATCCCAGATCTGATTCAGAAGTTCACAAAATGCAGGCTCCCAAATAGTCACTGGACGCAACTCCTCATTTCTTCCTCTGTCATAGCCTTTTGGGTTTTCAATAAATCACTCGGCTGTTACTCAGTTTTTCTTTGGACTTGTCCGAGAATCGTTTGAAATGAGTGACAATGCTCAGCAGAGACGCGTGCTCTTCCTCAAGATCGCGTCAAGATGATTTCGTTAAGTAACATAACGTTTAAGACTCATTTACAGACCCAACGAAGCGATTTCCGACCGAGTTCGTCTGTTTTTCTTCTGAAAATCCCACCCGTGCGGTTTTTGTTTGCACTCTTGCGAAAAGAATGTAAAGAAAAAAACTTTTACCCCAATCTCTACTTCGGTCGGCAGTCCTCTCAAAGTCAAAACTAACCAAAACGTTCAAATGCGACTCGCGGTCCTCTGTATAAATTGTTATAGCCTCCGGAAACTAAGTTTACATTTGTATCGTTTTACTGGTTTGAAGATAGGCTAGTCCGTGTCGTCGGCCTGCCCCAGCACTTCAGAGGATACAGCGAGATTCCGCACTCATGGATGGAGGAGTGTGAGCAGAAAGACCTGACTCCCCCTCCATCACCAACACCTCGGGACTACCAAACAGCTCACCCAGTGCATCCTGGGATTGTAGTTTCTGTCACACCGAGCCCCTCTTAAAAATCCTAAAAAATCCCTCGCTCAAAAGAAAAACAATGACATTCTACATTTTAAATATAGCTACAACATTTATATTATATTATATTATATTATATTATATTATATTATATTATATGTGACCCCGGACCCCAAAACCAGTCCATTTTTTAAAATTGAGATTTACACCTCATCTGAAAGCTGAATAAATAAGCTTTCCATTGATGCATGGTTTGTTAGGATAGGACAATATTTGGCCGAGATACAACTATACTAACTATTTGAAAATCTGGAATCTGAGGGTGCAAAAACATCTAAATACTGAGAAAATCGCCTTTAAAGTTGTCCAAATGAAGTTCTTAGCAATGCATATTGCTAATCAAAAATAATGTTTTAATATATTTTGGGTAGGAAATTTACAAAATATCTTAATGGAATATGATCTTTACTTAATATCCTAATGGTTTTTGGCATACCTGTGCCATACCTGTGCCATACAATATACCTGTGCTACTTATGACTGGTTTTGTGGTCCAGGGTCACACACACACACACACATATATATATGTGTGTGTGTGTTGCTGTCCAGGGTCACATATTATATTGAAAAACTGAGACCAAAAAGTTACAGACTGGTTAAGCCAGGTAAATACAAAAAAAAATTATGTCGACATTATGCATGAACTACCCATTCTAAATGCTTAAAAGACATTGCTAGATACATGGAATGACTGATAAGTCCCGTTTCTTTATCCTCTGTAGATAAAGCTGTTCCGTCCATTCTTTGTGTTTGTGACAACAATGTCCACACACCCCTGACACGGTTTGTGTTTGCATAGTAAAGATGACCACAACAAAGTTAAGAGTTTGCAAATGTATTATCTCAACAGCAGGAAAAGGTTCGTTCAAACTCCAGATAACATCTCCTGTTTTATTCAAACTCCAATTAGTTTGGAGGTACTATAGTATAGAAAACATCCGTGGATCCTTGAAGCGTCTACTTAAGTAGCAGCACGGCCATTGTCCTGGCTCTGTAATGAAGGGGGCCCCACCAAGGTCCTCTATGTTAGAGCCTACTCAATAAGCTCAGGGAGAGAGAATAAAATGTTTGTCCTGTGAGAAGCAGAGACACATTTTTCAAGCTATATTAAATATGATTCAAATGAAAATAAACATCTTAAAAAGTAAAAACATTACAATAAAACAAGTCAAGTGTGGTGTAATTCATTCTGAAAAACAACCAAACAGTTTCCTCTGAAATTCCAGTTTGAACATTGTTTATTTGTTTGTCAGTGTTCTATTCACAGTTGTAAGATTTCCTCACAGGGCTTGAGGTGACAATTTTCTCTCTACTAAAACCTTTATTGACCCAATTTGCTCTCCAAACAACAGCAAAGTCCAAGAGGGAGACGACGGCAGACACCTCCGCAATGGGTGACACACCACTCATGTTCCAAAAGGGCCTCAGGACTAATGTTTCCTTGTCTGTTTTCTTTTCTTTTGACACGTTTTATTGAAACATCGGTTACTTTAACATTATTTTCCCAGTGACAGAGAAATGACTATATACCCCTACTGCCCATTAGACCATCAAATGGTTTAGTCATCCCTAACTCCACTTATGAGACCAGATGCTGGTAAGACCCAAAAGATACATTCTCTGAAATGAGGAAGTGTTCCTCTCAGCTTATTTTCCACAATGGCAAAGCCTAGGAATAAATCTAACTAATTGTCTGTTAGTCCCCCTCTTGTTCTTTTGGCAAGCAAGCAGGCAGCTGAATCTGAAAGGGTCCCATTGACCTACTAAAGGGGGCTTATCACCAAATACAGCAATGAATGGAGGTGGCAATGAGGTGTGAACCGACCTCAGTGAGACTAATGAGGGATAGACTGCAGGAAAGAAGGGGGAAGGGTGCAGACAGACCAGTCTGAGTGATGAAGAGTGAACATGTGGTCAAAAGCACAATTTTTTGGGTAACTTGTCCTGCACCAGTGGTGCTACTCAAACGATGTTTTTAATCATGCATTTTGGTGAGGAGAACTATGCTAGCACTTTGAGTGAGCAGACGATTTTCACCAGATGTACTTAGAGTAGCTACTTTCATATTTGGTACAATTACTTGATTGGAATCAGAGTTTGATTCCTTCCCCTCCTACTCTTCCTGCTGGATTCTGTTCACAATTTTTGGGTCAGAACCACAGTACATTTGTGTCTTTCGAACGGCCATTGTTTACACCTGTTGCTAGGTAACAACAACCCACAAAAAGGCATAGATATGTATAGATGCCTCATTAGTGACTGTTTCTATGGACCGCTATACGTAAGCCGTCCGCCATATTGTAATGGTCAACTTGACGTCATTCACCATAGTAACCAATGAATATTCGAAGATGCCATAATCCTGCACAGCCGATAGTCTGCAAACCCATAGTATAGTGAATGACTTCAAATTGACCGTTCCACGATGGCGGATGCATCTACGTGCTTGGAGCGGTCGAATGGGGCATCTATACATATCTATGCAAAAAGGCAGCAGAATAGATAGTGTTGCTATCCTTACTTTTGTACTTTAGTTTTTGAAGATTTGGTTTTCTTTCCACAAACATATTGCAAAAGTTCTAAAGAACTTTTTTAGAATGGAGTCACTGTTTACACCTGCCAGTAACATCCAATTTTTGTGACTGATCACAAGTGCTCAGCGCTAATTACTGATGTCTAAATATGCTAAATACAAGGTCAAAAACATTTGGTGATCAGATACTACATAGGTAGTCTGAAACACATGAGATCCAGATTGCAAGTGTAGTGCTCATATGTCCTGAACATGTTCTGGACCACAGTCTGCCCACTTGCCACCCACTCATATAATATGTGATTGTTCAGGAACATTTTGTGAGAAAGCACACCAAAACAAGTAATTGAAACTTTGCTGATGTAGTGGGTCGAAATCATAAATGTGTAATGTGTGCATATAGAAAGAAAAATTGAACCCCCTCGCCCCCCCCCCCAAAAAAAATAAAATTTTAAAGAGAAACAAGGTTACATGATATTGTTCAATTCAGTATTGACTCAATGATCCAGTATTTTTGGGCTAACCCTGAAATTGTTTTTATTCGTGCCTCCTGTAGAGGGTGCTTAGCGCTTTTGAGATGTTGAACTGCGCAGCTCGGGTCAGAGTTGTATCAGAAGTACACAGTTTATAACCAAAATCACAGCTGCCTTAAGGTGTGTGCACACCAAAAGTTAATTTAATTATTCACGTGAGTAGATTACATACAAAGTCAATGCAAAGACGCAAATAGACGCAAATTCACACTTGGCAAAGTGAATGATGCAAATTGGATGACATGTTTGCCGCGAATGTGCGATACAAGCCTCAATTGCGTCTTCCGCATGAATTTAAAAAAAATTCAACTTGAGCTGAAAATTCACATGACGCGAAAAGCTTATTGACACGTCCAGTTTGACACATCTGGTTGTATCTGGTTGAGCATTACACAATGATTTTATTCACGTGAGTGAAACGGAAAAATCCAGCGAGTAATCTAGAGCGATAGCGTGACACATCTTAATACCAGGTATAAACATGGCCTCATTCCCGCTTGTCAGGAACATAATTTGACCAAATATTCTCTCTGAAGGAGGACCCTGAGTTCTGTCATGAAACTCGATGGTTCAGGCCGATAGGTTCTTACTCAATATGATATAATCACATCCTTATTCACATGGAGCAGCCGATCGGCTTTAATTGCATCAGCAGCCAATGAGCTTGCTGCTCAACATTCAAATACTTGGACAGTGCTTGCTGTAACAGTTTGCAGTGCACTTCAGAAATCCTCCACCTTCCCCAGCTCCACCTGTATGGATCTGCTACTAGGCGATTCCATGTATGTCATATATGCAGGGGCAATTTCATGTATGTTATATGTGCAGCAGTACACACTCACAGCAGCATCTATGTGGATGCAAGTGAGTCATGACAGAAATATAGTTCAGAATCATATTATACAGACTTATAACTTGTGGGTAGATATGACTTGGCTTGGTAAGTAGCCGCACAGCATTACAGAGGCAAAT